ATTTCAAGGAAACAGCTTGCCCCACTCCAAGCTGGCAGCAGCCCACAACTGAACACACAGAAGGAACAGGATGCCTCGAGCAGGGGTTTAGGGCTCTCCTGGATCTCTTTGCCTGCCCCAAAAGGGAGGAAGTTTGAAGTTAGATTCACAGTAGCCCTGTCTATAGACACCCCCCTGTGCAAGAGGGCAGGGTGGATATAAAGCCAAAGTCTTCACTAAAAAAAACAAAAAAAAAAAAAAAAAAAAAAAGGAAAAAAAAACCACTATTTTTTCTCCCCCTCCCTCAATAGTTTTCCTTCTCAAAGCCATTGATCTAAACCAGCATAAGAAGTGCAAAGCAGGCAGTAACGAGTGAACAACGCTGCTGGTCCCCAACACGGGCTCCCCAGCCCCAGGACAGGGCAGAGGAGCAGCACTTTGCAGCTGCCAGGGTCCAACAGCAGTAGATGTGGATGAGGCTGCTTCTGAAGCAGAAGACAGCATTTTTCAGCTGCTCCTGCACATCTGCTTAGCATTAAACTTCCTTCTTGGGGTTTTTTGTTTTTTTATTCCAAGACATTTAAGCTCTAATTGCTACCAGCTTCTAAGAGTTCCCCCTACAAATAATAAAAATATCAGACATTAGTGATGGATTCCACTTCACAAAGAGCTCAAGGGAAGAGCTGTGGAGGGAGCCTGGGTACAGAGGGGAGGTCAGAGGCCCCAGCGCACACTGTGCCTGCGCCAACAAAACTGAGGCTTGAAACAGCCCCGGGTTTCCCCTTTAGGACAGCATTTTACTGGAATCCAGCACAGGGCTTGGAATAGTTTTCCAACGGGATTGGTAACAGTAAACGAACAAACCCTTGCTTCCTGCCCCACCACCTCCCTCTGCTGCATTGCAGAGAGGCAGTTGAGCTCAGATGACTTAAAGGGGAGGAAAAATCTTGGTACTTGGAAGGGAAATTAAAGTTGCCTGCTCAAAGCAAGCTGCTCCTAAGGCAACAGCAGCCTGAGCAAGGTCCTGACTCCAGTCCCCAAGATCCTTGCTGCTGCTTTCAGCTGGAATCAGAACCCCATCCTCCAAAGCAAATTATTTTTAAAAGCTTAAAAGAAACCCAGGTCTATAAATTACTGCTCTTCCAGAGAGCCCAGGCAGTTGCAGAGGGTGTTGAGGAGGTTCCCTCTTTAGAGCCACATTGCACAGAAATAGCAGCAGAGCAGACGGCTCTCCGGGAATGGCTGCTGAGTCTGATCATGCTCCAGCGATGGGAGCCTGGGCATGGGTCAGCTATACTGCTCAGGTGCACAAGGGAAGAGGGGCAAGAGCTTTAGAGACTTCATTAAGCTTGTTTCATCTGCCTGCTTCACCACAGCAACTGACTGCTTTATTTAGGTTTCACGAGAAGCTTTCTTGCTGCCACTGAGACTCCTCTGCCACTGCTGCTCCTCCCACCCTGGCAAGGAAACAGGCGCCAGACGGCTGGGGATGGGCGCCATGCGCTTGGGTTGTGGTCCTACTCCACTCATTTTAGTAGCAGATGATTCATCTTGCTTGGGCAGAACAACCTTTACGAAAACCTGCAAGAGCTGGAGTCGGTCTAGAGTTGACTGTATGAGCTCACCCCAACTGAAATTCAGGGGGTGTCACAGCCATGGTTCACATGGATATCGCACACTGAATTCAGTCCTGGCCCACGAGGCACCATGCAGCTCCTGTGCTGCAGCCCTCCTGCTAGCAGGCTTGGTACCAGGCGGCTCTGCTGGCACCCTTGCTTACTGCACCAACACCCAAGATCCAGCCTGACACCTGTATTTTCATACTGCTGTAAAAGCTCAAAGGAGCATGTGCCTAGAGACCCACGGGCTGCATTTGCTGGGGCTGATGCCAGTGACTTTTACCAGTATTTATGTAGCATTCTAGCCTATAAAGCTACTGCCCAGCCATACCCAGTTCCTGCATGGGAATGACCACCCTGGTCATGAGTCTCAGCACAGTCTCAGTTCTGGCCATTTGGGCACAGCTCAGAAGTTGCATAGGCCAATGGCCATTTGCAACAAGCAATCTAGACAGAGCTAGATTGTTTCAAAGGGCAAAAAGTTCAATGATGCAGACCTGAGCTCTCCCATGAAGCTACCTCCCACACCACAGCATGATCCCAGGTCCATTTAATTCAGAGCCCCTCCAGCATTCCCTGGGGACATCTGAGGTGCTTCATGCTAAGAAAAGCCTCTCTGCAGCTGTCATGCTGCATGCTAAAGCATCAGGGAAGATAAGAACAGGTGACCTTGCTGAAGACATGCTGACATTTGAAAGGCACTGCCTCTTTCTGAGGCTGATCAATTTGGCAGGGCATTAGTTCTCTCCATGCAGAGATATTATCAGGTTAATTAGTAGACAACCACAGCACAGAGCAGCTGACCATTTTGCAGATGAATTTCCCAAGCATTCATCCTTGCAACCCCAATTATAAAGGAGGGGAAGAGACTAGATGACAGTCTTCAAGTGAACTGCAACTACACTGGCCTGCTGGAAAGCTGGTGATTAACACTTCTCCCCAGTCCAGAGGGCTTCACTGGTGTTCCAGTGAGCAGCAGCAATTCCTCACATTGGAATGAGGGGAGGCAAGTACTTCTGCTTCTCCGTCCAAATAACAGGTATGAGGGGTGTGGGTGCTCTCACCCCAACAGTACTATTTGACAAGGCAGCAAGAACAAGATGCAGCAGGCTGCTGCTTAGAAGCTGTCCAGAGCCTTATTCTTTAAGGCCCCCTGCATACAGCAGAACATGACATTGAAATTAAGCTTTGTCAGCCCAGTTTTCCCACCTCCAAGCAAGATGAGTTGGTGCAAATGAAGTGCCACGTCCTTGTCCTGGCTGCTCAGGTGTGACACCCCCAGAGCCAGCCCGGACCTTGGGGGCAGCCTGGACTCAGGTCACGGCTCCCTGGCTGCAGAAACCCTCCCCAGTGCAGAGGGCAGGGGCATTTCCTTAGGCCTGACCAGCAGAAGAAGTTTAGTGCATTGCTAATTTCCCCCCAGGAACAGAAGTACAAGTTGAGTTAACTCTGATATAGAGTCTACATGCAGCTTTACAGAGAAAAAAAAATAGAAAAGGCACCTCCTTCTGAATCAGCATGGTTTTCATGCATTTGTGGCCCACACAATTGACTCATTCAATTAGGCAGAAAACAACAGATAGCCAGAGAGAGGGGAGGGTGGCACAGAAAGGCTGCAAGCACTTTTCTGATCTATTATTTCACTCACCAGAGCCCAAGGCAAAGGGCTCAACTGTGCCACTCCTGTCTCT